GCTATGGCCTATTCATATGAGTGACCACACATTTACATACGACTACTATTCTGTGTATGGATTTTAGAAATATTATATATTAGGGGCGGACCATTAGATTTTCATTGACTTCCTAATGCTGCTTGATCTTTCTTGTCGTTCAAGGCTCTCGAATGATTTTTTTTATTTCGTGGGCACATATAAAAAATTGCGTTGCTCGATATTTTTATCTGCCCGTTTGTTCTTGCGCGATATTTTTTTAAGTTCAATATTTTTGGGGGAATCCGCCCCTTAGTATACTTTAATTTGGAGTATTAGTTGCGGTAGTAAATTAATCATGTGTTTATAAAATGCCGGACAGTCCGTCTTCCGCCGTCCGTCGTCAAGCTTTAGCGACAGTCTATATTTGGGCATACAGGAAATGTGTCATGGCGTATGATCATGTGATAGTTCAGGAATGATCAATTTTCAGACCAACAAGAAGGGTACTGTTAAGAACTTTCAGGAAAATATATATTCCTTCAAACTAGGTAAGTGCCTTAGCTAAGGGTAACACAGATTAATTGTATACAGGAATCGTAATGTTGTGAATATTGAGATCTGAACTTTCTAAACACAAGAGTTTAGCTCACAGACACAGCTTCATGCCTTCATTATTATGATATTATAAAAGACTAAAGTTCGGTCTGTTCCCCATTGTTTTATATAAGTATACACGTTAAAACCTAATTTATTATGACAATAACCTAATTTACAACGTTTGTAGTTCAAGACATAATTCTGTTATTTAGTTCAGTTATTATTTTGCGATTTTTAGCACTTTCGCTTCTAAGGTATTTTAGGGACAGTCCCTGAAACGGCAGGGGGTATAGCAAATAATATGGATTTCAAGTGACTTTGTTATATCAGTTTCTGAGTCAAAATACCCGTGAGAAATGTAGGAGTTGTTAACAATTTCAGGATATTTATGTGGTCCGGCTATGGGGTACCAAATGTAAAAAAATGTTATCAGCAAAAATATGTCGAATTTCCATTTTTTAGTTATATAATTTATACATTATTTGCAAACAATCTAAGTTGTATTCTGAATAAGTAATCCATAGATTATTTATGAACAATCCAGAGATTGTTTGTTGCGATACTAAATAATGCGTGGACAATCTATGGATTATTTACAAACCATATCCTAGGATTATTTAGCATGATCTTAATTAAATAATCCTTTGATTATTTATAAACCATGGATCTATAGATTATTTACAAAAAAATAAATAATCCAGGGATGGTTTATAAACCATGAATAGATTATTTATAAACAATCCATAGATTGTTTGCACGAGCCAAATGTAAAAAAAATATGGAGCCCCCCCAAATGTAAAATATAGAGCTGGCTACAGGAAGAAGCATGGGTACGATTTTGTGTGTTCCGGAGGGAAGGGCGACAAGCAATCATGCTTCAGTCTACTTTAGTTGCCATATTAAAAAGCAAAGTAAACTGTGTAATATTCCTCAGTATTTGCTGATGGCAAACCAGCAGTATTTGCTGATGGCAAACCAGCATTAAATGGCGATGAGAGCGATATAGTCCACGGCGATGAGAGACTGATGGCGAAAGACGAGATTGATGGCAAAAGTTTGGCAAGAAGGTATTAAAACATATATCAGTGATATACGATATATACAACTCCTTTGTCTTCATTCCCTGTTCCCTGACCCTGTTGTCTGGCAAATGAATCAAAGGTTCAACAGATTTTCTAGCTGCAATTAGAGTTAACTTTTCTTTGTTGGTACTGGTGCTTCTATCAGTTTAAATAGGGGGGGGGGGGGGAGTGGGTTGACAAAATAAAAATTTAAAGAAAGGAAGATGAATATCAATCAAATCCATAAAAAATTCCCCATAAATACGAGGACAGATTAAATCTGTGTGGAACATCATACAAAAATACTGTAAGGCAAATTCCCACCCACTAAGGGCAAATCTCCACCCCATATTCCCCTTTCCTGCCTCATTTGAACTCATGGAAGCACCAGTACCAACAAAGAAAAGTTAATTCTTGCAGATACAAAATCTGCTTTAACTTTATCCGTTTGCCAGACAACAAGGTCAGGGGACAAGGAATGAAGACAATAAAGGAGTAAGTTGTATATATCGTATAATCACTCATATATGTTTTAGTACCTTTTTGCCAAACTTTTAATTGCCATCAGTCTCGTCTATATCACTCTCATTGCCGTGGTCATTAGGTTCGTCTTCGTATTGGTTCGCCATCAGCAAATACTAAGGGATATTACGCAGTTTACCTCGCTTAATTTTTATGGCGACTAAAGTGGACTGAAGCACGCTTGCTTTTTAAATTTTAGTTTGGTGCGTTTAGTCACATTGTGATTCTTGAAGTCACACCCATGCTTCTTGTCACCAGCTCTTTATTTCACATTTGGCAGGCTCCATATTTTTTTTTACATTTGGCACGTGCAAACAATTATAAATAATCTATTCATGGTTTATAAACATCCCTGGATTATTTATTTTTTTGTAAATAATCTATGGATGGTTTATAAATAATCAAAGGATTGTGCTAAATAATCATAGGATGATTTGTAAATAATCCATATAGATTGTTTATAAACAATCCATGCATTATTTAGTATTGTTAAAAATAATCTATATGGATTATTTATTCAGAATACAAAGATTGTTTGCAAATAATGTATTATATAACTAAATAATGGAAAATTCGACATATTTTTGTTGATAACATTTTTTTTACAATTTATAATTCAAAACAGGGCTAGAAATAACGGCCGATCAACGATCAATGATCGGCAGGAAATTGTTTTTGATCGGCGAAGAAGCAAGGTTGCCGTTCATCTTGATCGGCAGAAATATATTTGACCATTGTCTGAAAGACATGCTTACCTGTATGTGGTAAAATACCAATAAAAGTAAGATAAAGCACATTCAAAAACATGTGAAAAGCTCTTGTTTAGTTGATACGAGTCATACGACAGGAAAGGCTGCAACACTATTCTCGCTCTAAAGTAATATAAAAACAAATTTGCATGAAATACTGTCGTCTCTTCAACACTCTGCAATCCGGACTGCTGACGACGAACTTTTTTTGAGTAGGATTTTTTCTTTTTAGTATGATTTTCCCTTTTAATAATTAAGAGGGTCCTGAAGGGGTAAAATGGGAACTGGGATTGATCTATTTTTAGACTGGGAAAATGGGATTTGGGTTGCTGGGACTGGGATTTGGCCAC